TCATCTTTCTAAAAAATCATTGTTTTATACTACTCTCAAGAGCTATTATAGTATCAGACCTCATTACCACATCGACAGACAGGAATGCATTCCCTGTTTGCTCTAGCAATTTAGAGATTATAACAGATTTGCAAAAAGAATTCTCCAGTTTCTAGTTGATAATTATCGATTAATGGATTTTATATGTAACATTTACGCTTCTGATTCCAATTCCAATTTTACGTATATAATGCAGCGCTGAACGAAGCGTTGAAGCAAGAAGTAGAAAGACTCAGAATTGCCACAGGAGAAATAGCAGCCCTTTCAGATGCATACGACTTGGCAGCAATGCAGCATATTCAATATAACCAGTCCGCTTTCTTTTCTCATCGGCCTCAATCTAGGCCAAATGATTCTCAGAATGTTCAGATGCCACAATTTCATCCTCTTCATGCTGGCATGTCAACTAATCCGCACCCTATGCATTCTGCCGCTCATACACAGGCTACTTCTAATGCATTCCAGCAGGATCCTCTTGGCCGTTTTCAGGGCCTTGACATCAGTAGCCGTGGATCTCATCTTGTGAAATCAGAAGACCCTTCTGCTTCAGCAAGTGAAAGCACAAGTACATTCTGATTCATGTTTTTCTGATTTGTGCATTTTGCCCTAGCCGGACCAACCCCATTTGTTTGTTCATAGACTGACCATGTTTAACATCCAGAATTGCCAAGATTCCTCATTTTTTATAATATAACTGGGGTCTTAGGTTTCATTAGCTTTGTTAGGTTCGGTATTCATTGTCATAGGCGTTGGCAGTTGATTAATTCTTGTTTTTTCCTTGAGAAATTGTTGCTTCAACTCGAGATCACATATTGTGATGGAATTCATCTCCTGGCTTGGGATGGGAGGTTATCATTGTGGTGTTGACAGTTTCACTTATCATGTGAACCTTCTCGAATACAGTATATTTTGTCATTTATTGATCGAGGGGGAACTCGATCAGCTAATTCATAATGTCAGAGGGTGTAATGAGACATGCACATCATTTTGTCTTCATTCACAGAAACTCTCATGTTGTAAAATGCAGTATTTCTAATGTCATTTTCTTTTGAATATTTCTTAACTTGCCTTGCAGCAAAATCCATTCAACTTTTTGTCATTCTCTAAAACATGCTTAGTTTATTGCAGATCCATATTCATGGTAACCTAAATTTATAGGTATAAGATTTAATCTTCATTGACAAATTGCGAGTATACAGGTTTATTGTCATCTGAGTATGCCAAATGACATTCGCAATGGTTTATTGAACCACCTCGTTTGAAGTTTTAAACTGGTAGAGAGTCTTCATCTTCATCATGCTCTGTCACGAGCAAGTCAAATTTTAATTTTTTCATTAAAGGCGCGCTTTTGGAACCACTTAAAATGTGTAACTATTTTGTGATTGCCCAGACCACCTCCACATGCTGAAACTTTTGCAAATTGACATACAGGAGTCTCAAAAAAATACGCCACCTGGGGGCTTTACAAGGACTAAATATTTCCGATTAAATCTTCTTGTTCCTAGATTTTCTATGCAAATAAATTGTTATTCCTCTTGTTGCTCTGGAACAATTAGGAAATTTTCTAAAAGAAATACAGGGTTATGCTTCATTTTTGCTGTGATGTTCATGAGTGGTTCAGAATATTCCAAAGATATTCTTTTGCGTGTCTACTACTAGACATCACTTTTCCTTTGCACGTGTTAAGCTTGCTGAGTTTTTTTTGGGATTGCTGCACGCTGAGTTGTTTTTCACTATGAGAGAGAGTATTTGGGTTCTTCCAATAATTAAAGCGTAGCATGTTTGAATGTAATCAGGACTCGCAATGGGGAATGCCAATTTTCATCTTTATGATCTAACTCTGTGAGATTTATAGTTACATTACAAGTAGTTTCTCTGTTCATAAACAAAGTGGAATAGGAATTGTACATCATTCCAAGACAAATATATGACTTTTGTCATCTTTTTTCTAACTATACGAATATACTTTCTGTCCCCTTTTTTTTTTTTTTTTGGGCCCCCATCTATAGCTTAAAAATACTCTATCGGTTCTCCAGGTTGAATACAGTACGAGTACCAAATCGATCGTTTTGCCATAAATGACTTCGTCATGGGCCTCATGGCACCCAAATTAGTATCTAGTTCAATAGTAATAGCCCAATCCTACTAATATTTCGGAATTAATCTAGTGATAATTACACAAAATCCTACCATTAACATCATGAATTTTGAAATCAGATGGGAACTTTAATCTTTTTAAAATCAGATATTAGCATATTTAAATATTAATATTAAATATACATTTTTTTATCCCAAACCCTACCATTTCCTCTCTCGTATCACCCTCTACCCAGTCCGGTAGTCCCCAGCCATATTCACTCTCTCTCTCATTGTCTTCTCTCCCTTGCCCCAACCATTCATGGCGCCATCACCACCCACGGCATCCCCGACCAGAAGAAGCGTGAATCGCCGACCAGATAATGCAGACTGTCGTCGCCGTGAGGATCTTGCGACGTATCCGAGCTTCGCCAAGGCACCAATCGGTGGGTTTTTATTTTTTATTTTTGGTAAATGGTTGTTGGACGGTGGGCTGCGGCGGTGGATCTGGCCGTGATTGACTGTTGTGCTGTGTCGTGGGCTTGTGATGTGGTGGTATTGTGTGTGTACTGTGGGAGGTGGTTGTGCGTGGTGGTGGTGATGTGTTTGTCGTGGGTTGTATGTGGTGGTGTTGTGGTTGAGTGGAGGTGATGATACGAGTGGTGGTGGTTGTTGATACGGGCGGGGGGATGGTGGTAGAGTCCAGTGGCAGATTGGGGATTTTTTCTGGTGGGGGTGGTGCGATGGTTGTGTTGATGTTGGTGTTGTGTGGTACGGTGGTCGTGGCGGTAGACAACAGTGGTCGTGGCAGTGGGTGCGGCGGTGACGGCGAGCTGTTGGTGGTTGTGGTATCGGATGTGTTGATTTGTTTTTGATCATGGTGTTTGCTGTAGGGTGATGGTAGTGCCGGCAGCTGTGTTGGAGCAGTGATTGTTTGGTGGTGGTCACAGATTAATTTTTTAATTGTGACCATTAAATTGGTTAATATGTGACCAATAAATAATATGTGATCAATAAGATAAATTGTGACCAAAAAATTAATAATTTGTGACCTATAGTATTTATGATCTGTGACCTATAAATAAATTATAATGTATAAATTTTTGATTTGCGATCAATGAACAAAATGTGATCTATACAATTTTTGAATTGTGACCGTAAAATAATTTGTGTCATAAAATTTCTGATTTGTGACCAAAAAAATAATAAGTGATGAATTAAATCGTTAATTTGTGACCTATAGTATTTATGATCTGTGACCTATAAATAAATTGTAACATATAATTTTTCGGTTTGTGACCAATGAACAAACTGTGACCTATAAAATTTTTGAATTGTGACCGTAAAATAATTTGTGACATAAAATTTCTGATTTGTGACCAAAAAATAATAAGTGATGAATTAAATCGTTAATTTGTGAACAAAGTATATAAATCTGTAACTTAAATATATTAAATTACTAAATTAATTAATTAAATTATAAATAATTTTTAATAAAAATATGATTTTTGAAATTTGAAACTTGTTTTTTTGTTTTTGAAATGTGCCATAATTAATTTCTTAGTTATGAAATTTTCCCATTAATCTATTCGAGAAACTCTTGGACTAGACTTCATTCTTAGGGGGGCCTATTGTTATTTATATGAATTTACTATGGATAATATAGTTTATTTTGTTTGTTGAACCATATTTTTATTACAATGATGGCTTCAATCTTTGTTCATTATTGTACTCATGTCCTCAAATTCTTGTTCTTCGCAATTTTATCCTCAACCTTCCGTTAATTAGGTTTTTGGAAAAATCAAAACTGTTGAAGGGCATAAAAGATTTATGTGCCACTCATATTTTAAATGAGTAAAAAAAAATTACAAATAGAAAAGTTGAACAAAATATTTGCTACTTATTTCAAACCATGAAAATAGAATATGTGGATAGAAATTGTCAACAGAGATAATGTGTGCTAATTAATTGAAGGTTAATAAAAAGAATATGACAAAAAAGAGTTAAGAAAATAAATGCAATAATGAGAAAATATTGAAAACCTTCGTTATGATTTCAATATTGTGTAGCTAGCAAAAGAGTAATGTGAATATTATTACATTTTTACTATTATTAGCTTTCGGCACGCTCGATGTGCATGGCGTACTATGTATATATGCATTGATTGTCTTATAAATACTATATAAGAACATAAACATATTAGATCACCCAAACTAGCAATAAAATATACTAATAACAAAAAGAGCATTAATTCCAACAATAAGTTATACACAATAATAGAAGAACAAATATCTAGTAGAATAGAATAATAATATATAACGAATCATGTTCAAGATATCGGAAGAAAATAACAAGAAAGGAGATGCATTTACCTAAGGAATTGTCCCTTGATACCTAACACTCATTTCATGATTCACCTCTGTTTATATCATAAGTGCATAAAGCCGTATCCAAACATCACAAGGGAGCATCAAGAATTAAAAGTAAAGTATACGCTCTTCCTTAAAAAGATTGTAGCAAGGGCAAGAAATTATAGTGAAATCAATATGCAAATTAATACATTAAAAACCACAAAACATTCATTTAGATCTTAAAGTAACTCAATAGATGACAGTCAAACAAATAAATTTCTTAATAATTATTTATATTTATCCAAAAAACTTTAGAATAGCTACAACATGGGAAAATATTATAGAAGTAGAGTAGATGATTATCAAGTAAATTAATCTGTAACTACATTAATCAATGCTCGTGATATGGCAGATCTTCCATGCAAATATTGATTGAAAATTAACAATATTTTGTATTATAACTTATTTACAAAAAAAAAAAAAAGAATTATTTTTGAAGTGTACCCCAAGCTGAGTTGTGGAGTCGCATTGTGAGTAATAATTCAATACAAAAAGTACCTACATCGAACATATATATGATGATACATAATGATCATGTGGCTCAATAAATGCATGTTAAGAAAAAATAGTTTTAAAATCGTAGAGCTAAATTTTTGTTAATGTTTGTACAATAAATGATTCATGCATATATCTTCCTATCATCTTTAGAGTAATGTATTGTGATGGCTTAAGGACGTACTATTTGTGCTTTTTGGTTTCTTAAATCAATATATTTGCTTTATTTCAAGATGCTCATGAAGAAGATACAGACCCTATCAAAAGCCATAGAAATAAAGTTTAAGAAAACAAAGAGAGATGCTGCAATAAGAGACTATGATAACACGTTTGCTTACATATTACTAATTATTAATGCCTTGCTGATATCATCATCATCTTTATTATTGTTTCTAGCTGATATTATCGTTACACATGAGAGCTCAGTGAAAATTACCTAGTTGCAAGAGGGTTAACTGATACCAAATTTAGCATGTAACTCAGAAAGGGATTTATTTCTAGCATCAAGGTTTTTCTTTAGATACAAGCAATAGGAGTTTAGGAAAAGATAACATTGATGAAAAAATATTTTAGCTCTCATTTCAATTTAAAAGTAAAATGAGAAATTCATAAGAATTGCCTAAATGGGAGTAGATCAATAACTGCAAGGCATAATACTCATGGCACTATGAGGGTGTTTCGGTGAGTAGACTAACATACGGTAGTAAATGTTAGTTAAGAAAGTACCTATCAACGTTGAATCTTTACTGGAGTGGAGAGATTGAACATCTTCCAAAGTAGTCATGACCAAATATAGAAAGAAATCTCCCGAAACCATAAGATAGTTCAAAAGAGTAATCAAATATCTTGATAGAAAAGTTTTATATAGTTTGTGCTCTATATTGTTCACTTCTAGTGACAAACAAATAAGAACTTTTCTGTGAAGATATTTGATTGCTATTTTAAACTATGTTAGAGTTAAGAGA